GCTGCAGGGCTGGGGGCTGAAGGGCCTCTGCGAGACAGGGTCTCTTTTCGGTGGTGGATCAGCTTTCTGACAGAGGGACAGCGAGATTATTAGGGGATCTACCTTATAACTCCCAAAGTCCTCACATGCTCCAGGGGGATGCTGCCCACCCTAGCCCAAGCTCCACTCCCATGCTCCACCCGGCTCTGCACTACCAATTCTGCACTCTGGCAGGACCCCAACCTCACCATGCACACTGGGAGGTGTCCGCCCCCCAACACTCACTGAAGGACTCCGCGCTGCTCCAGGCTGTACTTGCCACCATCCCGCATGGCCGCATTGTGCACAGCCTCAATGGCCCGGTCAATGGCTTGGAGGACATCCTGCTCCAGGCCCTGTGGGGGTGGGCAGTTAGGCCTGGGGGCCAAGAGGGTACTAAACCCAGATCCAGCCCAGGACAGAGCCTGGGGCAGACAGAGGATCATTGCAGCTAAAGTCTGGAAGACTAGATCTGAACAGAGCAAGCTGAACTAGAATATAAGGGTTCACAAACTGCATCACTCAGGGAGCTGGGGCATAGGGTGGGCCCAGTGCTGCTGCTTTATACTGGGGTCCCGCTCAGGATTTTACCTCGCAGTGAGGCTCTCAGCTAAGATGTCTCTGAAAACCTGGGACCTAGAGGAAAAACACAGCCCAGGGACCCCGAGTTGGAGGCCAGGAGTACACTTAGTCTACCCCCAGGCTTGGCTCAGGTCCCAGGCTGAGATGCCAAGCAGGGAGCCTCTAGAGTCTGGAAGTCTTCTTAACAAATCACTCTGGATCTTGCTGATCCTTCACAAAACCAAGGTCACACTCCAGAACAGCCTTGTCCCCGTAGAGCCTCTTGCAGGCCCTGGTAGCTGAGGAGGGGCCGAAAGGATCTCCTCTCCCCACCCCTGCTGCCAGCCCCCGTCCCCTCAAGCTGTTCCAGGAATCTTCCAGACCTGTTCTGGGAAGCAGCAATTCTGTATCTGTGGCAAAACACAGACATGAGAGCAGGATCTGGCCCTTGCCCCAGATTCGGTACTGCTATCTGCAGCAACGCAGGGGTCCAATCGACCAGCTTGGCTGGCATGGGCTGGGGAGTAGGGGGTGGCAGCTGTGGGACCAGCCACCTCATCCCTCCCTGTCCCTGGCACACATGGTCCATTAGGCATAGGAGCCTCAGAACTAAGGCAACATCAGTCCAGAGCAGGTTTGAGAAGCTTCTCTGATAGGGACAGACAGATGGACCCAGAGGTCAGTAAAGCCCTCCAGGTAGCATGGGTGTGCCAGAGTGCAGGAGACAGCAGACAGAAAGGGGGACAGGAGAAAGACAGACAACACATAGAAAGCAAGAAAGACAGGGAGAGGGAGAGAGAGAGAGAGAGAGAAGCAGAGGGAGACAACGACAAAAAGAAACTGAGATTCAGAGACAGAGAAGGAGAGAGAGTCGGAGAAAGAAAGAGACATACATACGTGGAGAGTCAGAATGACCCAGAGATAGAGAGCCAGGGAGATGAAGACAGAGGGAGATATGCAGCAAGAAATCAAGAGACAGAGAAGATGGTAGCCCCTCTGCCCTCCCCAAACACCCAGCCCCTGTGGCCCTGGCGGGGAAGGGGCCTCACTGGCCCTTGGGGAAGAGGCAGGACTTTCCTCAGAGATCTCCAACAAGCCCCTGGCCCCATAGAGGCTGGGTCTGACATGCTCACTCCGGACCCAGTAGCCCTGATGTCCAGGGCTCCCACTCTCTCTCCAGACTCTTCTAGGCAGGATGAGACCAAGGGTCCAGGGCCCAGGGCCCATCCCCTTTGGTAAGACCAGATGACATCTCCAAATTTATCCTGTTATTTCTGTCCTGAACTGGGTTGGGACAGGATGTTTCCTAAAGGCAAGAGACTAGGATGGGGCGGGGGTGTCTGGCACAGGCCAGGCCGGGAGGCTCCAGGCCCTCCTTCCCTCTGTGATCAGAATAGATCAGCTGGAGACAATGCACCCCTGCCCCCACACCAGGACTATTCTTGGGGAAACAGGAACTGGGGCTGCAACCTCCACTGGAAGGAAATAGGGCCATGGTCAGACCAGGGCAGGCCATAAGGAGGTCTCACTTCCTCACAAAGGGAGCAAGGAGGGACAGAACTCCTTCACTTTCAGAGAAAGGAAGTCTGAAAGGTCAGGGTCCGAGGCTTGTGAAAGAGGTAGGGAAAGTAGTGGCAGGCGTGTCAGCAGGGGCTGGGATCTCCGGTTCAAAGTGGGTTGGCAGAGGGTGTCTTAGGAAGAGCTTAGGGGGCGACTGAGTAAAGGCTAGTAAAAATACTGAAGTCTCAGGGCTTGGGGGGTCATTTAGGGCATGGGGTGTGCATGGCTCCAGGGACCAAGTTGGGGACGGTGAGGACATGGAGTATGGTTGGGGAAACAGACTGTGTCCAGGGCTGCCAGGGTCTCAGTGGTGGAAGCTGAGGGATGGGAGGCAAAAGTATGGGATCCTGGGGATACATCGAAGGGGCCGACTAAGTATGTGATCTCAGGGATCTGGGGAACTGGTCGGAATTTGGTGGTGCTAGACTGACTCAGGACTGACTCTTGAATTCTTTTCGGATGTGGGTTCAGATGTTGGGTCCCAATGAGTCTGGAATCTGAAGGAGCCTCAGTCCCTGACTTAGGCTTTTGGTAGGTCTGGGGTCCTCAGAGTTGGCTGTCAAGGGCCTAGTCTTTTGTCGGGGTGCGGGCTCTTAGGGTCCCAGTCCTCGTGGGGTTTCTGGGTCAGGTTCTCAAACTCCTTATTTCCTGGAGGTCCCGGCGGGCCTGGGGTTCCGGGTCGGTCCTTCGAGCCTGTGATGGAGCTCGGTCTGGGGCGGCGGAGGCCGGGGAGGGGCACACTCACCTGCAGGCGGCGCAGGTAGGCGGGGGGCACGTAGCCAGTCTCGCCACTGCGCGCCCGCGCCGCCAGCCACCAGTGCGCGCTGCTGCGCTCCAGCACCAGGAAGGTCTCGCCCGGGCGAACGCCAGCGCATTGGGCTCCGCGGAGCGGAATGCATACAGCGCGCGGTACATGGGGCCGGGCCGGGCCGGAGCAAGGGAGACCGCGGCTTCCGTGGAACGAAGACGCCAGGCCGGGAGCGCTTCGTCGCGCGCGCCTTGCCCCGTGACACACGGCGCGTGCGCGCG